ATTCTATAATTCTGCGATTGACAGGTCAACCTTGAATACCTTGCTAGAGTTGTTTTCAACACAAATGGAGTTCTTTACCCAGACAGTGTAGTTGGCACAGACTCTCACACCACTATGATTGATGGACTGGGTGTTGCTGGATGGGGAGTTGGTGGTATAGAAGCGGAAGCTACCATGCTTGGTCAGGTAAATTATATGCTTTTTCTGTCAAGAAATCAGAACTAACTGTCTGAACTCTTTCTGACACTTTGGTTCTAAACTAGGGATGATGCTGTGGCAGTTCAAGCTTAACACTTTGTTGAAGTTTCTTCTATTATAAATTGTAGCATGGTTTTATCTCGTTTTATGCAGCCAATGAGCATGGTCCTGCCTGGTGTGGTGGGTTTCAAGCTAACTGGAAAACTAAGAGATGGAATGACAGCTACTGATTTGGTCTTAACAGTGACTCAGATGCTGAGGAAACATGGAGTAGTTGGAAAGTTTGTTGAATTCCACGGTACATTCGTGAACAATTTGATATCATATTTCATATATGTCATTTCTATGCTTATCCACTACCTGTGTGAGTTAGGTTAACTCACATATGCATCCACTGCTTTTCCCTACACAGGGGAAGGGATGAGAGAATTGTCTTTAGCTGATCGTGCTACAATTGCTAATATGTCTCCTGAGTATGGTGCAACCATGGGATTCTTCCCCGTTGATCATGTCACTTTGCAGTATCTCAAGTTGACTGGCAGGAGCGATGACACTGTAAGGGGTTGCAAGGGAACTCTACATAAATTTGGTGTGCTATTGCTTTTCGTCAGGGTAGTGATTCGTGAATTGAATTGCAGGTCTCTATGATTGAGGCGTATTTACGAGCAAACAAGATGTTTGTGGACTACAGTGAGGTAAAATCTTGGGCATCTCTACTGCTTCATTTCTTATGACTATTTTCATCTATCATATTAGCATAACATCTTCTCTGCTTGGAACTTGTTACTCATCTCAGCCGGAAAGTAAGACAGTATACTCTTCAAATCTGGAATTGAATCTCGAGGATGTGGAACCTTGTGTTTCTGGTCCCAAGAGGTACTAATAGCGAATGTCTCTACATAAGTTTTCTAGGATCTATTCTGTTTATAACATTTATTCTCTATGCACAATACAGGCCACATGATCGCGTTCCTTTGAAAGAAATGAAAGCAGACTGGCATTCTTGCTTGGATAATAGAGTAGGATTCAAGGTTAGAACTCTCCTTCCTGTTCAGAAAAAGTTCTTTATGATAATGCATGCAGTCCCGAGAATCTGTTGGAAAATGATGGCACGTCTAGCAATGTTACTGTGATTTTGAAACAATAGTAGGTATTATGTCGAGGTGTTTGAGTCATTAACCGGGTCTAACAAACAACTTGTCCTGAAACACTTCTGATTTTGTAAGTTAGTCTCAGTTACAAAAACTGTGGTTAGCGACTCTACTATCCATGATATTTCCAGGGTTTTGCTGTACCAAAAGAAGCACAGAGTAAGGTTGTAGAGTTCAATTTTGACGGGACCCCAGCACAGCTTAGACATGGAGATGTTGTTATAGCAGCAATCACCAGTTGCACAAATACCTCAAACCCTAGTGTAATGCTTGGCGCTGCCTTGGTTGCAAAGAAGGCCTGCGACTTAGGACTAGAGGTTTGACTACTGTTCCTTTCTGGCCTGCTCTTTTGTGTGATCGTGTTTTAATATCTTTCTGTGCAATGGAAGTAATAAAAGTGTTTCAAATTTCTCCATTATTAGGTTAAGCCATGGATTAAAACTAGTCTTGCTCCTGGCTCTGGAGTTGTAACAAAGTACTTGGCAAAGAGGTACTGCATATACACTGTTGAATGTTTTGTTACTTACTTCCTTCATCTCTGTATTACGTGGTCCTGAGTTTTCCACTCTTGCAGCGGCTTGCAGAAGTACTTGAATCAGCTTGGCTTCAGTATCGTTGGTTATGGGTGCACCACATGCATCGGAAACTCGGGGGATATCCATGAAGCTGTAGCTTCAGCAATAGTTGATAATGGTAAGTCAAGTAGTCAATGATGCAAGTCTTTATCACATGATTTAGAAGTTGATGCTAAAATATTTCTCATATATGTACAAGACTTGGTGGCATCTGCTGTGTTATCCGGGAACAGAAACTTCGAGGGACGTGTTCATCCCTTAACAAGAGCGAACTATCTAGCTTCCCCGCCGCTTGTTGTAGCCTATGCACTGGCTGGCACCGTATGTTAATGCTAACTCTAATACCATTGCACAAGAATCAAGCATTCATGTTATATAAATAGCAGAATCAATCCCATGAATATTCTTGTAGGTTGACATCGATTTTGAGACAGAGCCCATTGGAACTGGGAAAGATGGCAAAAATATATTTTTCAGGGACATCTGGCCTTCGAACAAAGAAGTTGCCGAGGTAAATATATACAGGCTGCCTGAGCAATACATAAACAATAAGAGATTTTATAATTGGGAGGGATGTCAAATACTCTGTTTCATTTTTTCAGGTCGTGCAAGCTAGTGTCCTTCCTGATATGTTCAAAGCTACATATGAAGCAATTACCAAAGGGAATTCCATGTGGAATCAGTTATCTGTCGCATCGGGCACACTCTACGAGTGGGACCCGAAATCAACTTACATTCACGAGCCGCCTTATTTCAAGGGCATGACCATGTCTCCACCTGGTCCACATGGTGTGAAAGACGCTTACTGTTTGCTCAATTTCGGAGACAGTATTACCACTGATCACATCTCACCAGCTGGTAGCATCCACAAGGACAGTCCTGCGGCTAAGTACTTGATGGAACGAGGTGTGGATAGAAGAGACTTTAACTCTTACGGTAGTCGCCGTGGTAATGATGAGATTATGGCAAGAGGCACTTTCGCCAATATCCGTATTGTCAACAAACACTTGAAAGGAGAAGTTGGTCCCAAAACTGTTCACATTCCCAGTGGAGAGAAGCTTTCTGTCTTCGATGCTGCCATGGTATAAGTTCCACACACTTTGAGAGTCTCTCATTATCAATCTAGTCTCTTCCGTGTGGTCAGTTGGAATTAGAATAGCAGTTACATAGATATATTCTTATCAGATTCTCTTTTTGTGATGTACCAGAAATACAGGAACGAGGGACGCGACACAATCATTTTGGCTGGTGCTGAATATGGAAGTGGAAGTTCTCGTGATTGGGCTGCAAAGGGTCCAATGCTTCTGGTACATTTTTACCTTATATGCTTTAGCATTTTTCGTATGTAACAAACAATTTTTACATTAATTTGCGGGGTTTAATCGTTACGACAGGGAGTGAAAGCTGTGATTTCAAAGAGCTTTGAGAGAATTCACCGAAGCAACCTGGTGGGAATGGGAATCATTCCTTTGTGCTTCAAGACAGGAGAAGATGCCGAGACTCTAGGCTTAACGGGTCAGGAGCTTTACACCATTGACCTTCCAAACAATGTCAGTGAGATCAAACCAGGACAAGATATAACGGTCGTCACAAACAATGGCAAATCTTTCACATGTACACTCCGATTCGACACAGAGGTAAAAGAAGTTTACTTCATTGTTCTATGAGGCCTTGCACAAAGCCCATACTCGGATAAGGATCGCGAAGAGTCATATCGATAATCTATTTTCGCTTGGTCTTGATTTTTGAGCTTTTAAAACAGACTGATATAAGAAGAATTTGGAATTGCAGGTGGAGTTGGCTTATTTCAATCACGGAGGGATATTGCAATACGTAATCAGGAATCTGATCAAACAATAAAGCTGGTAAGCTACGAGAGACTTCAATATTCAGAAGGTCTGTTGCAATAAAAGTGTTTTTCAGGGATGAGAATTTAAACTTTGTTTTCTTTGTCTCTTTATATTTTTTTCCTTAATCTTTTGCTTCTTGCTAGTTCAAATTGGAACCATTATCACTGTCAAGTCTTTTTTTTTACCCTTTGTTTTTACGAAATAATCTTTCTGCTCCAATAGAATTATATTCTATCAATTTGAAAAAAACGCATGTAAATTTTGGTCAACAAGTTCAACTTGTGTTTTCATAGCAGAAAAGGAACAACTTAAACCAAAGAGCGGATATAAGCACAAATATAACTCCAACGAAATGAAGAACGAATTTTTGTCAAGGGTATTTGAAATCATAGAAACCTGCAAATGAAGACATATAAACATTAAAACAATCTGAGACAATGCAAAAGATAATGCAAAAGATTCATCACTAAAAAGCAAAGTTAAAGAACTTACCTCCTCAAAAAGCTATATTTTCTTAGTAGTCGCCAACATGAAACCATTTAGTTGATGCCCACTTGTTTCCTTTGATCACTGGAGAACCACCTGAATCAATCAAACAAGTTCTTTGAGAGATTTGGTTTTATTACGTCTCATAATCTCAACTAAGTAATATATTCCGATTCAAGAGAAGTATAGAGAAAGGTAATCTATCTCTCTCACCATGCTTACTCGAAGGATCTACAGACCCATCAAGCCTCATGTTCCAAAAGAGTAAAGCGTCTCTCTTCTTTGGTAAAACAGAGATTTTTTGTTTACGATTGTTTACTTTGGCTACAGGGAAAACTGTTTCTTTTTTTTAATAGTTTGAATGAATAATTCTATAGATCCTTTTATATATATCCCCAAAAAAAAAAAAATCCAAAAATATGAAAATAGCTTCTTTTTCATCATCTAAACAAAAACTATTTTTCTTGAGGAATTCTCATACACCAAAAGGAAAATTACTCGGTATACATTTAATTTATTATGTGTATCAATCAGATTTAGGCTTTTTGATACATAGTTTATAATCGAGGAAGAAAACATCAGCTACTTAAAGGCCATAACTCTATTTTGCTGGTTGTGTCATGTGTGTTGGTGAGATCATAGAAACCTGCAAAAGAATGACATAAACATTTAAACAAACTGAGACAACGTAATGGATTCATCATTAAAGTGAGATTCAGAGCTTAACCTTTTCTTTTTATTCAAGTTTTGTACTCATGAAGGTGAAACCATTTAGTTGATGACCACTTGTTTCCTTTGATCACTGGACAACCACCTGAATCAATCAAAGAAGATTCTTAGAGATTTGGTTTAAGAGAAGTTAATTTAGAGAATGGCAATGTA